AAGATTAATTGATTTGTCACATACTCTGTTTTGACGGGCAGTAACTGAAGCTTGTCTTAAGGCCATACTGGCTGTCTGGAGTATGGAACCTCACTAATTACACAGAAGTTAATCATGAATTCATTAAAGTGATTAAGGTGATGTCACCAAATCACTAAATGACCACTTCATAGTTTCATAAAAACTTTGATTTAATGACACAACCACAGAAAAAACAGTATTTGTTGTTTTTACATCCAAATTATAACAGCTGCATGTAGTGGTACCTTTTCCATTTTATCTTTGAACCTATTTCTCTAGATAATTCAGGGAGCAAAGAAAGCAAAACCTAAATATAAAGATAGTTATGACTAATGTTACATTTGCACTCAGCTACTTGCGTCACTTCCTGAGTCATGATAGATAGTTTTATGAGGTATGTGACCTACTGCCGGCAAAATGAATCCGGTCTCTTACAGGAATGTTAAGTATTTTGTGATCACAGGAATTCTTTCAGTTATAGCACAGATAGAGTTACTAACTTAGGCATCCTAACACCATTTGCGTTGTCCCACAATGCAACATAAGTGATGATATTATTTAGCCACCTTTTTGTAATTGTATGGAGGAATAAACAGTGTCCCATTACATCTTTACTGTCTCTCGGAGGGTAGGCTTTACTTAAAAATGCAACATCATGTTGTAAAAGCAGGCATACTGCCTTAAGCCACTAGTTCAAATAATGATAAGTGATATCCATTGCAGATTCAGACCATCTGGAAGATGGAGAAGTGCATATAAGACAGATGGGGATTCGCATGGTTACGATCAATGGTCAAGCCTTGCAGCTCCAAACTGCATTGAAATTCTAAGATGTGTTGGGCATTGACATGGGAAAAATAACCCTATTCTATTATTATATATTATTATACAATCCAAGCAACCATCTAAGAGAAGACCAATTACAATTGTACATAAGCAAACTAAGCAGTGTTTGCTTACTAAGTGTTTTAAAAGTGCATAATAATATTTTTGCATTAACAGAGAAACTGTTGATGCAATCAAGATGTTTAAAATACGTAAAGCTAAGGATGAGGAGCCAACTGCTCCGGGGCAGGGTAAGTAACTAGAGTTTGAATACCAGCTTTCAACTGTAAATTACTGCCAAACAATAAAATATGTGATCAATATTAAATTACTTTTCCAAGACATAATATAGAGTTAGATTTTATCAAAGCTGCCAAGTTCTTCATTCACATTTTTTATTAATGCAATTTATCTCATTTAATAACAGTGAAAATTAGAAAAAAGTCAAAGGTTCCCGGAGTTATGATTACCCAGTATGTGGAAGAACTACCTGAAGGAATGAGCACACCAGATTTCACTCGAAAACCCATTGCTCTAACTATTCAAGAAGGTAAGGTAACATACAACCCCCTCCCATTACATGTGCAACCTTTATTTGAATTTTTATAACATAATAACATAATGGTACATTCTTGTTAACATTTCTATAGGAAAATCGGCTATCTTCAGAGCAGTAATTACTGGCAAACCAACACCAACTGTGACCTGGATAAGAAATGATGGGGAAATTGATGAAGAAAGGTACAAAATTGTCCATGAAACAAGTTCTGGTGAATACCAACTACAGGTAGGAACACTGACCACGTCGGAAATTATCCTGGTTTGGCTAAAACACTGAAAATCATGTATTGATTGATAGATACCTGATGTATCGGTGGATCAAGCCGACACCTACAAGTGCTATGCCAGAAATGAATACGGAAAAGCGATTGTAACTGCTGCGCTTAATGTTATTGAGGGTCAGTTATTTACTTTTATTCCATTATACAAAAAATCTAAATTACATCATTATTAACATAAATTACACCGGCCTCACTTCACTCTAATTTCTTTCATTTTAGTTGGTTATAAAAAGAGCAGAGCCATGCAACAATCAAGAACAGGTACATAGCCTATATCTAAACCATAATAATGCAATGTTAGTCATTCATTGAAAGACTATTGTAACCATGCTGCTGCTTTTGTTGTAGCTGTCCGAGAGACACCTGAAGACTTCAAAAAGGCCTTAAAAAATAAGTAAGTAGTATGTTTTTTTCTTTCCTTCCCATGTATGATTATTATCTTAAAGTGTTTGATAATATGTATTTTTTTTTCTTTTTTAGGGTTGAGATTGAGCCAAAAGAAGACAAAAAAAAAGAAATTGATGACAAGTTTTGGGAACTGTTGTTGAGTGCAGACAAGAAAGATTACGAGTCCATCTGTGCTCAGTATGGTGTCACTGATTTTCGTGGGATGCTGAAGAAACTAAATGAGAAGAAGGTAGAAAGGGAGCAAGAGCAAGAAAGGGTATGTTTCATCTTCATCTAAATGTAAATACTGAATAAAGCACCTACACAGCCTAACATTTAAAAAAGATGAATAATTGCTATAATATAAGAAATACAAACATTCTCACAGTGTCAAACCCTTTTTTCCTAATTCCAATTGCTACAGGTTGTTGAGAGACTATGCAACCTAAAGCCCATTGAAATGAAAGGTGACGGTGGTGCAGAGTTTGAACTTGAAATGTCACTTAGAGACCCTACCAGCAAAATCTTCTTATTCAAGGTGAGATGTTTAATTTCAAATATTTACTTTTTTTCTTAAAGGTGAATGAATTAAATGGAAACACTAAAAGTCATATTAGATATTACTCTGCAACACATACACATTCACATGCTCCAACATTCATGACTGCCTACGTTTACACAGGATGGAGTTATGATTCCTTTTGAAGCCGACACAGATGTAAAACATGGACTGAAGCAAGTGGGAAAGAAGTTTGTGTTTAGCATCAATGGTGTTGACCCTGAGGACGCAGGTTTATACCAAGTGGAGGTCGATGGAGTTAAGATCTTCTCTACTGACCTCAAACGTAAGATGATGTACAAAATTAACATGTGCACTAGGGATGTCATGAGAAACGATACTTGGGTACCAGATTGATGCCAAAGTTCTGAAAACTTGACTGTACTCAGTTTTCTCAATACCGTAGGTATCAGGGCAGCATATACTATACGCCTATAAATATTCATGTCTGCCGTTAGGAAGGAAGCCATAGGAAGAATTGCAGCTGTACAGGTGATTTTACTTTATTTTCAAGAACAGTTCAGCCGCCACTAACTTCCTCTCCACTTTTTTCTTAATTAATCTTATCGGTGCAAAAAATTTACAGACAAGGAAAATAAACACATGGCAGAAGTTCATACAGTTCATTTAGGTAACTCAAGCAAAGGCTGCACCAAAGCAACAAACACTATAGAACACTGTTAAAGGAAGAGAAAACTCCCTCCAGACAGCAACAAGGCCAAAAAAGATTACAGAGAGTTTGTAAGGCTATTTTATAGCCTACTTTGTTGTTTAGTAAAGTTTAAAAAAAACATTAACAGCTTGGATGCAAGCAATTTCTTACTTAAAGCAATGCAGAGCTATTTACCTGTATTATCTAGGAAAATGCTACTGCTAAGTGCTAAGTATCCAGACTCTGTATCAGATACTCAATATTAAATGGAGATTATGGGCAAACAAATTTGATTGGGACATTTTTACCGTGGTATCGAAATGGTATAAAAGTAATTTCACTGGTATTGCTATAGAGACATCCCTAATGTGCAGAATATCATACAACAGTCCAAAAGAGTTACAATTGCTACGTACATACAAGATACTATGTTATGCTATAATTTTGTGTTTTGTCTAGTTCCCCCTGTAGACTTCTTGGTCAAGATTCAAGATGTGAAAGCAGAGGAAAGAGAGGATGCTGTGTTTGAGTGTCTCGTCTCACAACCCCTGAAAAAGATAACTTGGAAGGGAAAGAATGTTAACCTGGAGCAAGGGGAAAAATTTGACATCACTGTATCAGAAGACATGCTGATTCACACATTGGTGGTGAAGGATTGCAAACTATTGGACAAAGGAATTTATGCAGCTGTGGCTGGAATGACATCATGCAGTGCCTGGCTTATAGTGGAAGGTAATGTTTACATATTTTAAATTGCGTTTTTTCAGAGTGTTGAACACAAGTTTCTGAAATACTAAAAAATGTCTTATAAAGCATTAAATATGTCCTGGTGTTTTTTTCATTAGCTGACAGTGATCCAAACTCAGCCGGAAAGAAGAAAGCCCGCAAAACAACCAGAGCAGGTGGTGGTGGAGAAGATCTTTTGAAGATTGCTCAGGAGCAACAGGCTAAGATACAGAAAGAGAGAGATGAGTTGATTGCAAAGGTAAGGGCAGAGGCGGAAGCAGCAGCTGCAGCAGCAGCCGCCGAAGCAGCTGCAAAGGCAGAAGCCGAAGCTAAAGCAAAAGCAGAAGCAGAAGCCAAAGCCAAAGCTAAAGCTAAAGAAAAGCCAAAGGCAAAGGCAAAGGTAAAGAAGGAGGCAAAGGTAGAAGCGGGAGAAGGTGCTGTTGTAGAGGAGGAACAGGAAGAAGATGATGATGTACAGGAAGAAGTGTCTGAAACAACTGAATCTACATCATCAGAACCCAAGCAGGAGGGTGCTGCCCAAGCTGCTGATACAGAAGAAGAGGACGTTGTTCAAGAGAAAAGAAAGCGAGTGAGAACAGGCCCACTTGTCCCTGATACAGTCATTGGTAAGATGCATCAGAACATAGTACTGCTATGTTTTTCACATATTCCTGTTTCTAGTTAACAGTACGGTTGTATTTCCTTTAGACCCAGGAGTATACTTTACCAGTGCAATGTCAGATGTAACTGCCATCATTGGTACTGATGCAGAACTGGTCTGCACGCTGAGCAGTGAGGACTGTGAGGGAGTCTGGTACAAAGATGGGAAAGAGGTGAGGAATATAAGAGATGATTAAGTAATAGCTTTTGTCTTTAACCTTCTGAGAGTCAAATGTGTTTATGTCTATGTATGTGTGCATTTCAGATAACAGCTACAGATGACATCTGTATTGTTAAAGATGGGACCTATCGCAAACTAATTATCAAAAACTGCAAAGAAGATGATGCTGGAAAGTATCGATGTGAAGCTGATGGGCGTAAAACAGAAGCTGTGCTAAATGTTGAAGGTACTGTACTCAATATACAAATCAATTTGAGGTACCCGAACTCAAGCAAAAAAGGCAGCCTCTGTCAAAAGTTGTGAAAAAAAAATTCTGCTCAGCTATAATAGTCTCAGTTTAAAAAGATCTGTGTTTTTACTCCTAGATCCTCCAAGACTGAACACCGATGACCTTGCTGAGTTCATAAAACCTGTTATAATCAAATCTGGCAAAGATGCAGCTTTCAGGCTGACCTTTGTTGGCCGGGAACCCATGAAGATCCAGTGGTACAATGAGGGCGAAGAGCTGCTGGAGGACACCCATATCAAGATCGAGAAGTCTACCTCACACAGCCGCCTGCTGCTAACCAAGTGCCATCGCAAAGTCTCAGGAGAAATTAAAATTAGGATTAAAAATGAATGCGGAACAACTGAGGCCATTTCACAGCTCGTTGTCTTAGGTGAGGTTTGTATGCTAAATGTTAAGAACTGCATGTTCTTGATTTGTACAAAAGTTATATATGCCGCATAAGACATGGATATGAGTGTTAAGGATGATCTGATTAGGGTTTATGAAGCCCATCACGATCACTAAATGCAGTCTTGGCCAATACAGATCACCGACCAACCATATTTCTCTATCTCTATGTGTTGTTCCTTTGCTGGTCAGCAGTAAGTTTTATAATGTTTCCAAAGAAAACACAACACATTTTTTTTTTTTCAAAACGACATTTTGAATGTTTTCACCCACAATTCCGTTTTCACAACAGCAGGTGAGGCGCCCATTAACTTGGAGGCTTGTTAATGACTGAATAACTGTCCTCTGGGATAAAATAAATGTGTCAACTGATCGACTCTTCTGATCGGGGTTTATAGAAATCGCCAGTCAAACTAATTAGAGCGAACACTGGCCAGTTAAATCGGTGACCAATCAATCAGAGCACCCTTGATGAGTGTGTTTTTTATTCTTTTATCTTACTACAGATAAACCAACACCACCCCTAGGCCCTGTGGATATCATTGAAAGTTCAGCAAATTGCATTGAGTTCAAATGGAAGCCTCCCAAGGACAATGGAGGTTCCCCTATCACAGACTACATCCTGGAGCGCCAGCAAATTGGCCGAAACAGCTGGAAGAAGCTAGGCAAGATTGGCCCAGAGCCAAAATACAAGGATGTTGATGTGGACCATGGCAGAAAGTACTGCTACCACATCAGAGTGGAAACTGATCAAGGCATCAGTGAAATGATAGAGACCGATGACATTCAGGCTGGGACAAAGGGTAAGCCTTCATACAAGCACATCGATATTTATTATTTATTTAGTCTCAAATACAGTGTGAGCCAGTTAAAAAGTTTTTATTTTATTTTATCATTCTTTCAGCATACCCTGGACCTCCTTCAACCCCCAAAATTGTTAGTGCTTTCAAGGACTGTATCAATCTTGCTTGGTCTGCACCAACTAATACTGGAGGAACCAACCTTTTTGGATACAATGTAGAGAAACGCAAACATGGCAGTAACCTGTGGAGCTTTGTCAACCCACTGGATCAGCCCATTAAAGGTAAAACCATTTTAGAACTACTGACCATGTAGAAAATGTAATGTATTTGTTTACAGTTTCAATACAGATGCAACATCGTCAAGTGAAATGCCCTTTCTTCCTTAAACTACAAAAGTAAACAATATTTTTTTTTATGTTTTATAGTCATAACTATTGTTTGACATGCCAACAGAGAAAACGTATGCAGTGAAGGATGTTGTTGAAGGCTTTGAGTATGAGTTCCGTGTATCAGCTATCAACATTTCTGGGGCTGGCGAGCCAAGTACACCTTCTGAATTTGTGATTGCAAGAGATCCAAAGAGTGAGTAACAAGTCAATACAAGCTATTATCATCTCAATGCTTAACTGCTCACATTTCAATGCTTCAATGCTTTTAACACTTTCAGAGCCTCCTGGTAAAGTTATTGACCTGAAGGTGACAGATTCCACATACAGCACCTTATCGCTGGGCTGGAGCAAACCCATAGAGGAGGAAGGGGTTCAAGATGAGTCCAAAGGATACTTTGTGGAGATCAGACCAGCAGAAAACCCAGAATGGGGTCGCTGTAACTCCAGTTCAATCATTATGAATTCCTATACTATTATGGGTCTGAAGTCTATGGCCATGTACTGGGTAAGAGTTATAGCCACCAATGAGGGCGGAGACGGTGAGCCTCGTGAGTTGGATAACTACATCATTGCAATGCCTCCTCCAGGTGAGTCAGGGGAAACCGTGAACTCGTAGTTGACAGATTTCACCTTCATTTAAATATTTTTTTCTCATTAATTGTCTCTTTCAATGCTGTCACAGTGAGACCTCAATTCACTGACAGAAAAATTAAGAACTTCATCGTAATGAAAGCTGGAAACTCTGCTCGTATAAACTTCAACTTTCAGGTGAGTATAATATTCATACAAAAACTTCATCAATAAAAGAAACTGAACCATTACTGAATGACTTACATGGCAGATTAGAATCTACAAAAATATATAAACCCACATCTTACTCCTGTATCTCCTGTTTTTGACAGGCCTCCCCAATACCAAATATTAAATGGCTCAAAGATGGTCATGCTGTAGCCAAGCATGTGACAGTGAGCAACACAGACACATCATCGCAGCTAATGATCCCCTCTTCAGAGCGCCATGACACTGGGATCTACACAATCATTGTCAAGAACCTTGTTGGACAGGAGACCTCTAGTGTTGAGATAAGAGTCACAGGTGAAAAACAAAATCTAATTTGTAACAAATAAGTTAAATGAGTACCAAAGGTTCATACATTTGCAATGTGATATGCATTCTCTTGTTCAGATTATTCTGAAGTTGATCTAGTTTTGTGAAAAAGCAAAAAATCATTGTCATATTCCAGAATTATGTATTAAAGCTTTTAAAATACTTTATCCTCTTTATGATACAAGGATTGCTAAGAAGTCAGCGCTAAATAAATAAAGCAAAAATGCCTACCATATATACAAAATCTTGTTTGCAAAACCATTCGCAGGAGTATGCACAATTTGGACTTGAGGGATGTGTGAGGAAAGTTTAAAGAGAGCAAAACTTAGTGTGCAGGCATTATCATCATCAAGACATCACATTAACACTAATAATCCTTTCATACCTGTTTGTAGATGACCCCAAGCCTCCAGGCCCTGTGGAGCTGGAGGAGAATGTGTTGGGAACAGTGACAGTCTGCTGGACTCCCTCTCCGGATGAGAAGAAAGATGACAGGCTGCACTACATGATTACCAAGCGTGATTCTGTTAAGCGTAGTTGGCAAACTGTGGCGGACCGTGTCTTCAATAATAAGTTCACTGTCGTCAATATCATGCCGGGAAGGCAGTATCAGTTCCGGGTCTATGCCAAGAATGACATGGGGATTTCCAAACCCTCAGATTCACCAACTTGGGAAGTGAAAAGAAGAAAAGGCAGGTTTAACAAAAGTGATTCAGCATGGAACTGAAACAATTAGTCCATTATTTAATATATTGAACAACTGAAAATTCAACAGGCAAAAATTTTGACAACTTAATAATCATTTTATCCATTTGTAAAGCAAAAATGTCAAACATTTGCTGGTTTGGATTTTCTGCATTTCTGTATTTAATAATGTTAAACTGAATGTATTTGGGTATTTAGGCTTTCAGTCAGTCAAACAAGACATGAATATGTCACCTTTGGTTCTCAAAACTTGGGATGGGTATTTTACAGTTGTTTTTCAGTTTTCATAGACTAAACCATTAACTCATTGAATGAACAAAAATATAATCGGATTAATCAACAATAAATAATTGTTAGGTGCAGCCCAAGTATAGTTTAAAAGGCATCAACCCAGGTGTAAATAGATCATGCAAACAATTAGACACATTTTTGTGGCAAAAATGTGCTGGTCCACCTAATAGTGAATGACATATCCCAGGGTGTGGACTGCTGGTCTGACGAATTAAGCAATTTAAACACATCACTTTGGGCTCTGAGAAACTGTAATGTGTTTTTGTTACTTTTGACATTACATAAACTAGACGATTAATTGAGAAAATAATTGGCAGATTAAAGCAACAATGAAAATAATCTTTAGTTGTAGCCCTACATATGTTAAAATAAAGGAATAGGAAGCATCTGAATAGATGAAAGTACTTAACAGGAGTGACAATTTTAAAGAATAATCACACAAATACCTCCCTACCAAATGAAAATGTAAGAATATCAACTGGCTAAATGCATATGGGTGGAGCATACCACACAGTAAACTGCAAGCTCAGTTATATAAAGATGACTACAGAGAATATAGAAATGAAAAGGGTATCTATCATTAAGTGTTACACCCTTTTAAGGTTTCTTTCATTTCCTTCCAGAAACATTTTCTTTGAACCTTCCTACCTCCAAGGACTGCAGCTTTGAGGCGCCTCCCTCATTCTCTGTTCCACTAAAGATGCACAACTGTCCAGAGAGCTATGAGTGCTACATGAGTTGTGCAGTGACAGGAAATCCAAAACCTCATGTTACCTGGTACAGAAATAACGTCAGCCTCAACAGCAACAGTAACTACTACATCACTAACACATGTGGGGTCTGCTCCATGGTGATTCTCAAAGTTGGGCCCAAGGATAGTGGGGATTACTCTGTCATTGCAGACAATTCTCTGGGCAGAGTGGAGTGTTCAACTAAACTTGTTGTTAAAGGTAAAAACCCATTCAAAATTATTTCTCACATCTTCTCTTAAATGTGACTCCTCTGACTATATGTTTAAACAACACCTTTCTTTCCCTCATTCTTCAGATTAAGATGATGCAGTGGGCCTAAACTCCTGAAGAGGAATAAAGTGTGAAGGATTTGCGAATTTAAAACAAGCTGTTTCTGTGTTTTCTTTTGTGAAATAATGTATTCATGTGTTTAAATAAACTGTAAAGAAGAAAATAATGGATGAAAGAGGGTAACTGAGGGTTTTCAAGCACCAATAACAAATGTGACAAATTTAAACTAGGTTCTGTGGTATTTGAGCGCAAATTCTACTCAATTTATCTACTGGATGCAAAGAGCACTTTGACAAGGGATATCTGAGATTCAACATTAATTATATCCTAATCTTGCGCCCAAGCTATTTTCCCCTGAGCTGTGATCATAGTTAATTTCCTCTGCTGTTTTCTAAATAAGACGGAAGTTATCTAAAACTACCTGATGGAATATCTTTGACTATAACTATGAGTATGTTTTAGTGTTTGATTTATTAATCATTATGCAAAAATATAAATAAATCCCACCTGTCCAACAGCGTACAGCGTCTTATTTGCCCATGTTTAACCTAAATTTCAGCATGAGCTTATTACTTGATGTGCAAAAAGACTCTGCAAGCACTCTAGTGGCTCTGTGAGGCTGTACTTAGGCACTGCTGTGCTTAGATAAATTCTAAAGTCAGCATGATAACACTGAAAAGGTTAATATGCAGATGTTAAGACAGCAATGTTCACCAGGTTCACCACTGTAGTTTAGGCTTTTAATCAATGCCCAGTTGATGCTGATGGGGAAATGCTGTTAGTTCATACATAAATCAATGCACTAAACAAACGAATATGTTGACCTAATGATGCCAAACATAGAATTTCAACTCCGTGGTGACTAAAGGAAAAGTGAGGTGAGCACCAAAGTCAGTGGGATTCATACTCTCAGGACCATGAACGTCTGTATAAAATGTAATAGCAAACTATATAATAGTTTATATATATAGATATATAATATCAACGTATCAAGTATTTTTTGTGTATAAATCTATGACATAATAGGTATAAAACAATAATTTTGTTTTTGTACATTTAAAAATGATCGAGTAATTATGTTGATCATATTTTGACTAAATTTAACCAGTATTTGACTATGAAGGGCTGCATTCACATTCAGTTTACTTCATAGGACTGGAATCCCGTGACACATTTATTGTGCCTTTCCATTTTGTAACTTCACGTGCGCTGCTTCTGCTTTGCCAACTGTCAGATGGCTTCAAATTTCTCTTTTACTGCGAACATGTGTTTGCAAGCTTTCCGTGGATATTGCCAGTCTATTATGGAAAGCCATAAATGATAAAATTTCATGTGCATGACAAAGTGCAACCTTGCAAACAACTGTGCATCTTCCTGTGTAAAGTCCTGGGATGTACTAATATTATCAGTAGTCACATGGCATCTGTACATAACTCTTTACTGGGAGTTTATTGTACAAGGCTTTGACATTTAAAAGCCTCTTAAACACATGCCAATAGTATTTAGCAATTCCTTGTAGTGGTATACTAAGAAACATTACAAATATTTACTGTTGTTCATAAAACAAATCAATTCAATGATATTTGTACAGCGCCAAGTCATAACAGAAGTTACCTCAGGACACTTTTCATATACAGCAGGTCTAGACCGTACTCTTAAATACTATAAATTAAGAATACATACATACACATCCTTCTTTTGACAACATAAAAACATGGATGCTGTAGATGATTTTTCACCACTTATCAATCAAGTTTTAGATATTGTAGTGTTGTTTAACTATAATAACTATTTTTAGTATTGAATATATCTATTAGGTCAAGGCAATGTATTTTCCCATTAAACTAAATAAATAAATAGGTTACCAAGACACAGATGGGGTCAATTTTGTCCATGTAGCAATGGGTTGCTTAATGTCAGGTTGTTTTGTCATTGTTTTGCAGGGTAGAATTCAAAGCTCCTGACTTCAGTGACCTTGCAATAAATGCCTTCAAGAACATCAAGCCTCTCATATCAGCTTCCAGTGCCTGAGAACAGTCATAGTTCCTGTGCCACGCATCTGCTTTTATTACACTGCTTGAAATATCCACACACACACACACACACAATCGTGCTCAAACTGAGCATAGCTCTGTTATTACTAGAACCACAAAGACTGGGATGTGGTTTAAAGTTCCAGAAATGCAGACTCCAGGAGGAATCTGAATGACTTTTCACAAGTAAGTACATTTCCTCAAGGTAGTCATTGTGTACAACTGACACACAGCACATTTGCCTTTGCTGAAAACATATACAACATCTAAAACAATGTACATTTTAAAAATGAAATGGAATTTTCTTTTTTTTAGTATAAGTAAAATATAAAAAGTACAGAGGAAGCACAACAGCTGCCTTTTAGCCTGATGTGCTTATGTTTTCTAACTACTAATCACAAAATTATGTTTGGCCCGCCTTATCCTTACATAAGACTGGTGACATATTCATCATTAATCATTATTATTGTATTATTATTATTATTTATTACAAATGCTCATCATTCAGGCAGATTACAGGTGGTTAGTAATTCAAACAAACCTATAAATGATAATAATAATAATAATAATAATAATAATAATAATAATAATAATCTGCTGTTTAAATATATATTTAATTAGCTGTTATTTTGTTTTGCAGGAGACAAGTCTGTCATTCATTTTTTGATTTTATATATCTCTATTTTGATGTGAAGACCTAAGTAATCCATTAATTCCAAGAAATGCATCATTATCTCACCTCCAAAGATATGTCTGTCTTGACAATTTATGAGACTGCACTTGAACCCACACTTTTATCAATGTATTATGTTTAAAGATGCCATTCAAGACTGCTTAGACACCCAATAAACACTCTGTATTTTTAGCTCCTGTCAATAGGAGTCATTAGTGCATCTAAACATTAATATATGATGTTTTGTTGTTCTCGTAATTTCATATGAGTGCCAGCGTGAGCATACCTGACTGTCAACACTTAGCTCTGACTACTGCTTTCAACTCCACAATCCAAGTAAGAAAATCCTGATTAACGTATATAATACTTAGTATAATAGACACAACTGGAAAATCTAACAGCCAAAAGGAAGACAAAATACAAATAAAAATATTATACCCAACATTTCTCTTGATAAAGGTGAAAGTGAAAGCAATCTGCAGAAGTTGTAAATGATCACATGAAAAGGATCCAGATACCAACTATGAGGAGAAACTATTAAAATTTTACACAAACAGTATAGTTGACAATACAGAATCATTGCACTGATATTATAACAAGAACATGCTTAACTAAATGTCTTAGACAAATGGATGTCATTTAGACCCCTCCAGAAGAAGCTCATGTATTTGTTAACAAGAAGCCACAATGTTGGTCATCCCACCGGGAGGCTTGTGGCCATCCTTAACTTTCCCTCCTCCCCCTTGCTAGAGGTCATGATTTATGCCAAAAACAAAAAAGCAATCCCTTTTCTTGGCAGGCACCATGTCTGACAACGTGGGTGCTAGTCGCAGAGTCATTGGCATTCCTGTAAGGATTTAATAGCTTGAAGACCAAGGAGGCAACACTTAAATATCAGACTGGGAAGCAGCACCACTCAAGAGGATCACAAGAGGACTAAGGTAAGTTCATCATTCATCTTACATACAGCACCACTTAGATATGGAGGTGTTAAGTATTTAGAGTTGGCTACAGTGTTTAACACTGAACTAATCCTCTGGATGATTCACTCTTAACATCTAGTCCAAATATAACACTAAGTTAACGTGGCAAACTGTGGAAAGTGTTTGCCTATAAACGCGATGGAGCTTACTTGTTTTAGTGCTTTGATATGTACATGCAGTATTTTTGTTTTCCTACCATTCATATTATTTAAAGCCTTCCAAATTTTGCTCATCTAATGCTTACTCAAATGTGTATTAAAAAAAAAAAAAGGTTAGTGTTAAGTTAAAGGTTTGTGCAAATTTAAATCAGAAGTCATAAGGTTATCAGAGTGCTTTCCTGGAGTTAGGAAATGCATATATATGCTAATTCACAATTCCAATATAAATAGTGGCCTTCTACAACAGTTTAAATTGACAGTTAAAGTTTGTGGGGTCACAAGATCTTTTAACGCTTTATTTTGGCAGGTTGGCAAATCAATATATTTCATTTATATGAACAATAATTCTACCCATACACAAATTTATCGAACAAACAGCTTGATAAAACAGCTAACGACTAAAGTCCTTTGACAACTTAATGGCTTAGGAAAAAAAAATGTTTTTAGGAGCATCTTTCTTTTGTCAAACTCCTAGCTTTTTTTTCTATTTACCACATTGATATTTTTTCCTGCAACTGAAAAAGCTACATTGCCAATATTTACATTGCAAAAAAAACTGCTCTGAAACTCGGCAGAGAAAGAGCACGGTAATAACCCAAATTAAGCAAACCTGCAACTCTCATCTAGTTCACATGATCAGCATCAATGTCGACTCCATAGATAGTCACATGCGTTCTAAAGATGCCCTTTAGTAATGTCTTGCTTTTAATCATTTTTACGATGCTCTGAGTATACTCTCCCGTGCTGTATTTCAGCGCTGGTTACATACTGTAAGCAGCTGGCAGCATTAACAACAGATGCAACACATAAAAGCCAACTCTCACAGCAAGAAGGCTGTTGACTTCGAGCTCAAAATGTTTGTTGAGCGCAAAAAATGTAACTTCTTACAATAAGCATTCAAGAGGACACTATTTTGTTAAGCTAAAAAAATATATATAGCGTGCAATTTGTAGTCATGTACTCATCATATTTAGAAAAACTGTATACCGTTACAGCATATTTAGCACAACATTAGTTCTTTTACCATGTATACATTACTACTTTAAAACCTGAAATTATTTAGAAACTGATTTAGTTGCCATATTGACAAACTATGTTAGGTGCAAAATTGAAATGTCTATGACATGTCAAGAGTTGGGGTGTAATAAAGATCAATTACTTATCTTTTTTGTGCCAGAATAAGGTAATCTACAGAGTTTAAACTTGCTATGCTGAGCAGGTCTCACTGCTTTACGACTCATTCGTCATGTCAACAGTGATTTACAAGCATATTAAGATGTTCGAGATGGGATGTTAACCGTTTTATGTGGCATGTGACCTATCAGGTGACAATCCGGTTTACAGCCGTGGATCATCGACACCCTAGAATATCACGCGCCTACACTGGTTGGTGGTAGGTTTGTGCAAAGGGGTTACAGGTGGTCAATCATACCCAAAATAAAAAATAAATGTGTATACTGCGCAACACTTTTTCAACAGTTTTCTAAAACATTTAATAATGCTGATAAATTGTTCATTGTTCATTCAGGTTAATTTTTTAATTCATAGAATGAATGAAGTTAAAAAGCCTGTTTTTCTAATCATAAACCTGCTGCACCTTATTCAAAATATGAAACAACTTCAACTTAATTATTTTTATATATGTGTCTATGACACTATGTTGGAAAGATCTACGATTTAGTCGTTTAGGTTGTATTTAGTTCTGAAATAGCACCTGCTGGTATTTCACGGCAGGAAGCTGCAATACCTTATCAGTGATGCTAGCGACAGCATAGAGCCAAGTCAGTCAGGCAGTGACAATGTGTGAGTTTGTTCGCTGATTCACCTTGAGGTATAAGGCCTAGTGACAATCAACAAGGCTGATGTAGTTCTAACTGGTCTTGTGACAAGGTAAATGTTTTCAGAGCAAAGAGTTACTGAGTTCAGACAGCATCAGCAATGTTTAGTTTAAGGACAGTACTTTTCCCAAAACATATCTCACATTTACTCTCAATGCACCTGAAGAGGGTACCTAGTCTGTTTCAATCAATTTTCAATCAAGCAGTTACAAATATACAGTATGTCTGTATGTGGAGTTGATGTTAGTGGTGGTGGGTGCAGATTACAATCAATATTTGGGAACATGAGCATCTCTCCAACAAAGCTACTGTATGTATAAACCTGACAGGCAATAACAAGAAATTCTTGAGGTTGTACCACAAAAAATGTTCTAGCTCCAGGCAATACCCTGCTTGTTGTCACAGACACCTCAAACTAACATTTGAACCCACACTGCGATTAAGATGCTATTTCCTGAGTGTCTAGAGAATGGCTTGGGATAGAGTTCAAGCAATTCAGTGCAGGCAAATTAATTTTGGAGGTCTACTATGGAAATAGGCTGTTGTTCTTAGCAGGCAAGTTGCTCTGATAGCAAGGACTTGTGTTATAATTTGCTAAATATCTAGCATTTGCCAAACTGGCCTTAATCAGAAGGCAAATTCAAATTCAGGTTAAAGGTAGAGTTTTCTTGTAAACAACGTTTTTCTGTTACTACGTTCAGAGAATGCACACACAGTGCTTTGTATCTTTGAGGTCTAATAAACGTATAGGATACAATTTCTTTCTCATGATTTGCTTAAAATGTTTAAACCTTTAAAGCACACACACACAAATGCACAAAACACAAACACAAACATTGCTTTGCTTCGTAGTGCTACGAGTGACATAGCAGTAAATATTACACTGTTATCGTTAATATGATAATGAAGGCAACAGCCCACTAAGGCAAAGGTGATACATTATGATCTCTCTGAGTACTATAAATTTCTCCTCCACAACTTTACAACAGCAGAATTAAGTCAAATCCTGTAGTATAGACATTGTATTGATTACATTTTGATGTCTGCTACTGGTGTGAATGGGTCTTTCACAAAGTTACTGTAAAAACTTGTGAAATCACTGTGCAACAAACAGATATTGGAGAGATTAAATGTTTTTTTTTAAGTCTGTATGTGCCATAGTCATGGGAAGTTACTGTATGCCTACCATATAGTTGGCTTTCTAAACAAACAGTCACATTTCTGTAAATCCCCTTAAGCCCCAGCAACACTGAATCCATTACAATTAATGTTCCATCAGTTATTTTTGTGAAGTGACATTTGTCATTCTAAGTTTAGCAACCATGTGGGTAATGAAAGATTGCCATGTTCTAGCAGAGATCCCTGCTGTGAATGGAACTGACAGATCATAAAAAAGGTTAATTTGATAAGCATGTACTCATTTGAACATCAAGCCAACATGCTGCACAGCTTAAAGTGACAACAAATACCCTTGCATAATGATAGTTAAAGCATGGTAAGAAATTACATCATGAGGTTGATGTGAAAGTCTATACTCCAGTTTTAATTTCAAAAGGATTTTATTTTTGGGGAATGTGAATAACACTCAGTATACAGCAAGCAGCTGCATGGCATTGAGCCACAGATGATCATATTTTGTGTCTTTTACTGTATCCTGAGAGTCTGCAGTAGAATCATGGCCAAAGGCTAATGTTTGGCAGAACATTTGCTACCATGATGACTGTTTCATTTTGTAACGTATGTTCCTCTTGAATTCCTTTAAAATTCATCTGTGCCAATAATCTGCCCTTACATGATCTTGTGATCTTCCAAATCACAATAATTAACTCAAATTTACTCAAGGAGGTTTGCATTTTTTCAACAATCTCTACAACACTGTACTTTCTCAGTCTAGGTCAAATCAAATCACAAATCAAGTCTTAAGTTTTTCAATGGCAAAGGAACTTTCTTGCCATCAATTGAGCTTCTCAGGCAGGACTTCTGCCTAAATTCAATACAATCTTATTATTATTTTAGATAGTATAATGGCAAAATAAAATTTGAAATCCTCCAGTGAATTATTAATCATTTTCTGACAAACAAGAAGCAAAATATGATTTCCTACTCCTGTTATTTGAATAGATCAGTAGAGACATAAATATTGTACTTAAATCCCTCCATCATTTATTGCAGTTGAGGAAATCTTTCTGAATCCATCCAGGAATCAAAGGGCCCAAGATGTTTAGACGATCAGTAGTGACGGATGGGACGGCCGCTGGCCAAGGTAAGCAAATAAGTGTGATCTCATAACATTCAGTGTCCAGATACTGTCTCTGCACAGCATCTTAACAGTTTATATTTGTTTTTTATTTCAAATTCTGAAAATATATTGGCAACACAGAGGTGACAAGCAACCAAATAAAACCAGTAATCTGGACATAGAGAGAAAACAGAGAATCCTCTGCTAGGATAAGTGAACATTATCACTCCTTAAATCTAAAGGAACCTTGTCTTGAATATATTTTTCTTTGTTTGAAAAAAGCTAAGAAAAAGTTCATTAATTTTACTACATTACGAAATTATCAAGTAAGATGCATCGTCCTTAGTGGTTGGGGAAGCAATTACAGCTACAAGAAATATATCCCAGATCCATGAAAAAATAAGTTAAAAACATATTTAATACAAGGCTATTATTAGTTGCTCTCCCTAAGAGACTGAAGTAATAAGATGACACCTTTCCAGGTCAGAATCTAACAGAATTGATTGAATATGGTTAGTAAGGGGATCTATTGGTAAGTATATCTAAATTCTAAATACCGTAAAACTTTTATTTTTTTATTAATAGCACTGGCTTTTATTTGCTTTAATCACTGAACTCAACCTGCCTTTATTTGGAACAGGTAATTCCCTTTGAGGAACTCTTTCTCAGCAAAGAATACTTTTAAATTGTTTATTTGAACCAGAATGAATACTACTTGTATAAAAATGTCAAATCAAATAGCAATTACAAATCATTAATTTGATCATATGATACATTGGTGCTCATGGTATGAACTAAAACGATTGAATTGTTGGACCCTGCTTTTAATTGAATTTTTGTATATTCATAACTATGTATTTCTGTCTGACTCTAATAGTTGATTACTGGCAATTATAAAGGTTACATTTTACTCAAAAAGACTGTTTTTTGCTGTAATACTATTCAAATCACTTTATTCAGTTAAGTTAAAGACTGCAATTTGCTCATTACCATAAATAGACTATACAATAGTGTGTACACATAGTCTATTCAAGGCCAACAGGAGCTCAAAAGGAGGTAGACACACATTTGCAGACTGATCACAACACAAACTGAGAAGCAGATGAACTTTATAGTCTTAATTTACCAAAGCAGCTCAAGGTTTGCAGCAGAATCACATATTTACCATATTCATATATAAATTCCGTCCATTGATAAATCATAGTACAACCTGACACGGACAGTCAAGAAAAAAATGTTTAAACAAATGCAGAAAATATTACATTGTTATTGCTGATATGATTTAGCCTCATTCGCCAAATCTAACAATGTATCAATTTGGCGCACCAAATGCTGCTGCAGTATTTCATTTCCTTCCCCTGAGTTTAATTATTTAAATCTAATCCATAAACCAATGCTAATGCCATGCTGACATATGCTGTCTATGCTCTTTAACATGTGCCTCATCAGGTCCTGATGCAGAGAATGGTAAAGAAGGTAGGCTTAGGGGAAAACAGAGAAGCCCTCATCAGTCGTCTTTTTTTTTTTTCACAACTGCTCACAAAGGCATGAAGAACTGATATGCAATGGATTTATTAATATACCATATGAGCGTACATACATGTGCGTGGATATGTAGGTGCATCGCTACATATCTGTCCTCAGGTTTAATTTTAGGCATGGATTCCCAAGAAAAAAGGTTTACAAGATGGTAGTCACTGAAATGTAAATGTATTGAACATGTGACACAGGAGAGTCTTCTATACCAGAGCTACATACATAGAGCTCTGAATGATAACAAACTGAGTAACATTAAACATTCTAATATGTCATATATTAGAATGTGTTTCAGCATGGTTTATGTGGGTGATGATTTGATTACAAAACAGCGACAGGTTTTGAGGATTGGATATGATGATGGTCATGTTTTTCATTCTTTTCTCTGAGTCAAATGTATTGTCACTGACATTTCATTTTCCAATGCTGACAGTGGGGATCAAGAAAAAATCTAAGGTCCCCGGGGTGATGATTACACAGTTTATCGAGACGCTGCCAGAGGGAAAGAGCCATCCAGACTTCACCCGAAAGCCGATTGCTTTGACCATTCAAGAGGGTAGGACTGATAGCATAAGAATTTAAACATTAATATCGCAAAATATTCCAAGGTGGAATTTCCATGATTCTGCATAATGGATTAGATCCATGACTTTTGTGCAATGGGCCAGTGGGAGCAGAGCCCTGCCATTCAACACCAAGACTCGTGTGTCAAGTCAGATACAATTAAACACACACTGACTTCAAATTAAAACCAGGAATAGTGATAGGATTATTAAAAGTATATGCTGTTATTTTGACAAAACAAATTCTCCACAGTTTTGCGCCAAGCATTCTATGTAATAGAGTACATTACAAATCAATAACCATAATAAATGACAAACAGGTAATTAAGTAAATATATCTGCATCTGTTTCCAGTTGAAGGGAAGAAGAACATGAGGTGACCTTGTCTGCTTTGTCTTTCTGCTTTTTTTTACAGGCAAATTTGCTTTTTTCAAAGCGATTGTCACTGGAGACCCGCAGCCAACAGTAACATGGAGCAGAAATAATGGAGATGTGTCTGATACGTCAAGATACCAGACTAAATATGATCCCAATTCCAATGAGCACACGTTTGAGGCAAGTGATACGGCCTATGAAATCACAGTGATACTATGCAGCAATATGCTGATGTAAAGGAGTGGTAAAAATATCACAGAGAAAAATAGATAAATAAAAATAGAAGGAGAGAGAAAAAAATGAAGAAGCAGCTATTTGATTACATTAATGTCTTCCAGTCTTCTGATCCATCAGTGTGCTTTGCAAATTACTTTTTCGACAATAAGGGGATTTCAAATTTGAAAGGAGCACACTCAACAAAGTCAGTTTAATAAAAATAGACTGGACACGTCTACCCACCCCATCCTGTCAACTCACTGCTGTTTGAGATTGAAAATGTAAATTAAAAAGGCACATCAAAAGGCCATCTACCAATCAAGTAGTGGGCAGAGCCTGTAATTGTACTAGAGTATTTCAATGGTATGTCATGTGATGCATGTCACAAGGATGCCTTCTGTATCTATTTCTCTAACTATTTATTACTGTACTGCAGTGATTTCCAACCAGGGGTACTACTGGAGTGGGTACCTCTGCAGCTGTCATGTACAGAAAAAGATTGTGGAATAGCTAATTTAGGAAAACTAGAAATGAGAATTTGTTTTAAAAAAAAATATATATCCACACTTTTGCCTTTTGGAGAAAAACAAACGTAACATAAGTTGGCATTTGTTTGATCTTCACAATGTTAATTGTAATAACTAAAATAGAAATAACAAAAGCAACAAACTAGCTATGATAGGCCGATTACACACACATCCCATCAACCTGATTGAGTTTTATCCAAGTCCTACCACATGCTGTGATTATTGTGTATAAAAACTAGTTAGCAAGTGACAGAGAAGTTGAAATAGATTTCTAAAAGTGACGGAAAATGGCTAAAAAATCCAGGTTGTTCCACTCGAAGTGGTAGAGGTACAAATGCAAACTGGACCAAACCTATTGAAAACCAGAAAAAATCGAATCTAAACGTGTTGATTGATGGCTACTTGAGCGGGTCTAATAGGGCTGTGGGGGTACAAAACAAAACAAAAAAACACTGCTATTTAGTTTGAAACATATTTACAGGCAACTACTTCACCCAAAGGGTCCATTATATTTGGCATGTCTTATATCTTCCAGATGCCAAATGTTAAGCCAGATCAAGCGGATACCTATAAATGCTTTGCCACAAATGAATTTGGACAAGCCATGGTCACAGTTGTTCTGAATGTAATTGAAGGTAAGGACTGTTTGCTTACTATAGATATGACAAATTGATGTAAATAATATTATTCAGTCATTTCATCTGACATTGCCTCAAGTGTTCTTCCAAATCTACTCCAAACCCTTGAGCATGTTATACTAATTCCCATACATATCACTCTGCAGTCCCTCTTGTGTGTTAATTTCATGATTGATTCAAATTGCAAGCACTATATTTTCCGCTTTCAGTTGGTTTCAAAAAGAACAAAGTCCAACAACAACCAGCTGAAGCCGTTGGTGGGAATTTTAAGACTGTACTAAAAAGGAAAAGGTGGGTTTGCATTACATTTGTTAATGGATCTACTGTGATCTACAGAATTCTGTTGCTCTTTAACTAAATGCACCCTATTTTTATTTCCAGTAAGATCCGTCCTAAATCCGAGCAACCAGAGAGGAAAGATGGAGAGATTGATCCTAAATTTTGGGAACTCTTACTTAGCGCTGACAAGAAAGATTATGAGAGAATCTGTTCAGAGTTTGGAGTGACTGACTTTCGCTGGATGCTCAAGAAACTAAATGAAATGAAGAAAGAGCGAGAGGAAGAACAAGCTGCGGTGTGTCATTTGTGATATTTGGGTGCTGATTTGTTTTTTTTGTTTGTTTTTGTTTTTTTCTGACTACAAGCTTTAAAGTTGACTATACATCCGTAGATACATTCACTCCAGTAACAAAGTAATTCTGTTACAATTAATGTTCATTTGCATTATGTGTTTTTCTCTCTTTTTCTGTTTGTGTACCAGTTTGTCAAAAACTTGTCTAACCTGAAACCTATTGAAGTCAACCCTGATGGTATTGCATCCTTTGAGATTGACATGGACCTTATTGACCCAAGCAGCTCTATATTTATTTACAAGGTTAGTGTAAAAACAAAATTATAACTCTCCTATATATAACAGCCCTACAACACAATAGGCCAGGAAGTTAGACAAATAAATTAAGAAGAGTCATCCTATAACTGTGTGTACACAACGCTTAAAGAAGCACTTCACCCGTGGAAACATTAATCTTTATTGAAAGTGGGTTATATATGTAGTCGAAATGTAACATAAATTTTGAATTTGGTGCCTATTTGACCGAGAAAAGAGTGTTTGTAGTCTCACCACCCCTTCTACAAAGATAATGGAGACTTCCTGGCTTCCAGTGATACAAATGACGATTTTTACATCATTGGACAGCAGGACAGTGCAACACTGAATCCGTATTGGGAAAATGAGGGAATGGTGCACGACCATTCAAAAATATGACTGGGTTTCTAACGATACAAAGCTTAATGCAAATGGGTGAAGTGTCCCTTTAATGTACAGTATATACTAGACCTTATGGCTTTGAGTTTTGATGAAGTGCAGCTACGATGCTTTCCGTTTTAACTTAAATGAGGGGCATTTCTCCAGCTATTATCTTAAAGCTATGTTATGTAAGCACAATTTGGAGCATCCCAGAAGGAAATTACAAATTACATTGTTTCTTTCCCCCCACAGGATGGTGTAATGGTTCCATATACAAAGGAGCTGGGAGATAAGATGAAGCACAGCCTCAAACAAGTGGGGAGAAAGTATATTTTTAGTGTAAGGGACCTTATGCCAGACGATGCTGGACTGTACCAATTGGATGTAGAGGATGTGAATATGTTTTCCACAGATTTTAAAAGTGAGTTTTATACTTGCACACATGACGAACGAGTAGCCCTAATTAAAGCAAAGGAAGACAATGTGTTTGATGCATAACACAAATAGCCCTAGATACAATAAATAACATCAGCTGTGTCTTTAATAATTATCATTCATGCAGACAACAGTAACAAACTATTTTATTCTAAAATAAATTGCTTTTTTATATTTCAGTCCCCATGGTGGATTTCTTGGTGAAAATTCAAGAAGTGAAGGCAATCGAGAGAGAAGATGCTGTTTTTGAATGTGTCCTGTCAAATCCCTTCTCCAAGATTTTGTGGTTTGGCAAGAATTTGCCACTGGAACAAGGCGATAAATATGATATCCAGGTTTCAGAAGACAAGCTCATTCACAGGCTGGTGGTCAAAGACTGTATGGTAGTAGACAAAGGAATTTATTCTGCCTGCGCGGGAATAAAATCTTGCAACGCATGGCTTATTGTTGAAGGTAAGATATTATTCTCCACCAAAACACTAACTGATATTGTTCAGTAATGGATAATGATAATAGTTTGTAATGGATAAATAATGAGAAAGAATATGATGCCTTTATCTTACCACTCATTGCTCTAGAAATTACAAATATACGAAATTCACAGTCAATAGATGTTGCACTATATTACAGCATTTCAGACCAAAACAAATGCATTATGGCCCACGCGACTTCACAGACAAAACCAATAATTTGACCATGTAGATGTATGTCCAAGTAGACAACACACTTCAGTCAGAACAGACACAAAATAAAACTCACCAAATAGATGTGAAAATATTAGCAAAACTTGCTGTCATGGTAGCGGCACATAAGCTAATCCTTGGGACAAATTCTCCTGTTGAAGAACACCCACTAAATGTTCTTGCATGTTTTGCCACTGACAGGCTCAGATTGTTATTATAAGTGTGTGACAATATTATGGAAAGGATCTCTACAGAGATATTGCAGTCGCTCGCTTCCAGACTCCATACACAAAAACAGTCATTTTACCGTGCATATCAACATTGTAAGTTCATTCAAAGTGGAAAGAAACAAAACTCTCCAACTCTGGTTTGGTAAAAAAAATAAATCCTTACTTCACCAACAAAAACGAGAAAAACAGCTGTTTCAGTCGCTTTCCTCAGCTAAAAACGGAGGAGCATGCATGCACAGCCTTATAAACAAAGCACAGAGAGGCTTGGATAGCAGCACAGGGACTGTGACATAATTTTATCCTCGGGACACCATTACTGCACTATATCGTTACATAGAAAATAGTTATTTCTGCTGTTTGATGTCATATATATCCTTTAAATGCAAATCCTTTTTTGTTTTTCCAATTCAGCTGATAAAGATGCGCCAAAGGGCAAAAAATCAGCAAGGAAAACAACAAGGGCTGGCGGTTCTGGGATGGATCTGCAGAAGGTTGCCCAAGAGCAACAGGCAAAATTAGAGAAAGAGAGAGAAGAAAGGAAAGAACAGATTAAAGTTGCAAAAGAAGCTGCAGCAGCTGCACCTCCTCCTGAATCCCCTCCAGCTACAGCTGGGGCAAAAACAAAGGCACCAAAACCTGAACCAAGTAAGAATGTCGACCACAAGGTTTATGAAACAGAGAATTCACAGATATGAAGGCCATATTGGCATGACTTATGTATTACAAAAACTCCTGAATTGTAATTATAGATTAATGTGATAACCAAAACTATAATTCCTGACATGAATATTGATATGTTTATGTGGTCATTCATGTTTATACTTTATGATTAATTTGCTTGACTTATGGAACCACTTTCTTTAATTTTTAGTAGGGTGTTCACCGTATGGAAAAGAAACTCGCTGTCTGTAGTATTATTATTGTTTCATAATCTGTTGTGTTATAATTGTCTTGTTGTGTCATCTTTATGTGTGTATACCATCTGAATGTTATAGCTCATTTTATTTTGTTTTTGTTTGTGTGTTCTTTCTCTGTTGTTTTATTGTGTTTATAATCTTATATCACTTCTACATCATCTATCCTATCTTTTTTCTTATTCAATAAGTGTTCAACCCATTGATCTTACTCTTCCTGTGGTGACCCATTTCAGTTTACGCTCTCCTTAATGTATGCCCTTGTATCAGTTTAAGTAGTAATATTCTGGATTTCTCACCTCACATAGATCATTAACGACCATTTCTGTTCCCCAATCCTTAGACATTAGCTTCCTTTATAATTTAAATATATACAAATGAAGAAAGAACGTCTGACTTCACTGTATCCCCCCACGTCTGAACTTTGGGTTCTGAGTTGCACCTCTGGCTGGCATGTTTACCACTGTAACAGCTATTTGGATTCATATGAAAAAGACTACACTCTGAACCATATTTTATTTTTTGGACAAAAAAAAGCTGATTTCTCAAGAGACAATTTGTTTAGAGAAAACTTTCAAATGACTCAACCCAATCCACAACTCTCTGGCTTCCTGTAAGTAGGAAAAACACCTTCAAAAAGGTATGACACTGTGGAAGGCTTTAGGAAATGGCATCAGAAGTAAGTATATAGGAGTTGTAGAAACTGTACTAATCAACAGCAATGGTAAAATGAGGGAGTAATTTACTACATCAAGTTTAAATTACTTACTGCTGTTATTGCTATTAGGCCAGCCAGTGCCAGTGCCGGTGCCGGTGCCTGTGCCGGTGCAGGTGCAGGTGCCGGTGCCTCAGCCAGAAGCCGATGCCGGTGAAAGGCTTGATCAACCACTCGCAGACGCAGGAGGTGGTATGCCAGATATTGAATACTAAAAGTACAATAGTAACAAAGATATTAAAAGACTAATAAAAAACTAATCTTTAGCAACATGAGTCAATATCTAATCAAATTATAACTTTCTCTTTAACATCCGAGTTCTCTTAAATTACCGTAGTTGCACCTAAGTCAAATTCGAATTCATAAATGAGAAGGTGCGAAATAACAAAATAAGGATTCTTTATAACCAGCATGTGGAAACACCATTTTTAATGTACTACTGATCCAAAGACTCTCACTATTCGAACAAGTCTTCTTAGAAAGTCTTGTGAGCTGACTGGGCTTCTGTTAACGTTTTTAATTATGTTTGCTTTGTGCTTGCTTTTGATGTCATTAGCTCGCTTTGTAAAATATGTTTATCATAAACTTTTGAACCAGATCACACTTATCTAAAATTTAAACCATGCACGGCATTGTGATCTTATGTGTACCGAATTTATTAAAAACAAATAGGTTGTCAAAGTTATTATATTCTTATTTCCTTTCCTACTATTACTTACCTTACTTTTTTAAGCACAAATGACAGAATTCACAGGAAATTATTGATATTCATGAACCATTTAACTACTTTATCTCAACAAACACATTAATTAGTAGAAATTAGATGCATACTGTGTATGTAGGTAATTAATTTATTCTTGTGTAGTTTTATTCATACAATAATCGTACATATAGTGCTAAACTGAAAGCTTCTGCTCATGAATATGCAAAGTGGAGAGTAACTTTGTTTTATGTTGCCCAGAGCCTGGAATTACCTGTGGACTCTCTGATATTTATGCTCTTCGTGGAAATCCGGCTGAATTATCTGTAAAGATGAACATGGACCGTGATGGGTCCTGGTTTAAAGATGGAGAGCAGGTAAAGCAGATGAATTAACAAACGTCCTACATACTTACAATATGTACATTTTACAATTTGGAAATGTATCTGACATACTCATTAGAGTAAAATGTAATTCCTGAACTGTCAACATTAGGTAATGTAACAAAGAAAAGCATAATGTTCTCCATGTCACTTTTGATTTCTTAGTTAAACTCGGGTGCAGGGCTCAACATAAAGAAAGATGGAACCTCTCACAAGCTGACAATTCAAAGCTGCAGAGATGACGACTCTGGAGTTTATCGTTTTGTATCAGGGGATCAAAATACACAAGGAAAGGTCACTGTTGGAGGTATAATTTACTCCCCTTTATTGTTGAACATATATTAAATGACACAACAGTTCCTGTGTAATACACTAATTTAAACTGTGTTTTTCACAGATGTACCTGAATTTGACCCAGACGACCTTCACAAGTTCTCCAAACCTGTGATCATAAGAGTGGGCCAGAACGCTGCTTTCAAGATGCCCTTTCCTCCTCAGGAGTCTTTGGTGGTCAGTTGGTTTAGGGATGGCACTGAGATCAAAGACGGAGGAGGAGTTAAGATCGTGAGGGAGCCCAATCACAGCCGGCTGCTGCTCAGAGACTGCCTGCGGACAGACGCAGGGGAAATAAAGATCCAACTCAAAAACCCATTTGGGTCTGTGGAGGCCATATCTCAGCTTATTGTGCTAGGTATAAAAATAGATATAGCTCATGAGAAAAGTCAGAAATTAACTCTCTAGTAATTGTTTACTTCTACATTCACCGCAATGTTCAGAGTTAAACACAACTTTCACCTTACGAAGCATCACATTTGCGCAACTACATTTGAACTCTATCGTTACAGATCGACCAGGTCCACCTGAGGGTCCAGTGGAGACTGTTGAAACCACCTCATCTATCATTGAGATTAAATGGAACCCTCCCAAAGACGATGGCGGCTCCGCTGTGACCAACTATATTATAGAACGGCAGCAGGCGGGACAGAATCTGTGGACAAAACTTGGGGACGTCTCAGCTGACAAGACCTCCTTCAGAGACAGGAATGTGACTCATGGAAAGAAATACAACTACCGCATCTATGCAGAAAACCCTGAGGGCCTCAGTGACACCCTGGAGACAACTGATAGCATTATGGCTGGCATAATGAGTGAGTGTAGAAAAAAAGTCTCATTTAGCATTCCTCAGCAAATCCCTGTGTTAATCTCCCTCAGGTTGTAATAAATGAAAATGCCTCCGGATAGGTTTTGTGATTGCTTTAAATCGTTTATCACCGGCACTATTTAGTCACTGTATAACACCTACCTTTTATCTTTGCTGTAATAGTTTCTCTATCTCCAAGAGGAATAGTTTGCAATATCCTGCAGTAATAACATGTAGATGTCCTTAATTTATTCCACGTCTTTAATTACTTCTAAATTATTAATAATGAGCTTACTTGATTAATTAGAAATGTCATTCCTTAGTACTCTCTGGTCCACCTGGTGCCCCCGAAGTGGTGAGTGCCACTAAGTCCTGCATCAAGTTGACCTGGTCACCTCCAGAAGACGACAGAGGAGTACCGATCATTGGTTATCAATTGGAGAAACGAAAGAAGGACACAAATCAGTGGATTGCCCTGAATGCTGTTAATGAACCAATTAAAGGTCTGTCAAAAAAATATATGCACTAAAGTTTTGATTAAAGGAAAATGTGCCTCTTTTTCCTTATTCTTTTTTTTCCTGCAATACTATTAATCCTATTTTCAGATGTGAACTACGCAGTTAAAGATATCACTGAGGGAGCAGAGTATGAATTCAGGGTTTCAGCAATCAATGAGTCAGGATCAGGAGATCCAAGCCCTCCCTCTCAAATGGTGTGTGCAAAGAATCCCAACAGTAAGTAGTTAACTTATTTTATTTTGCATATTAATGATTTGTCCAGAGTAATGTTTGTTTCCTGTCTACATTTCATGTTTTGTGTGTTTTCAACCAGTGAGACCTTGTTTTAAAGACCCAGAAGACTTCATTGTTGTCAGAGCAGGAAATTCTGCACGCATCAAAATTTGCTATGAGGTATGAATAAGCCTGAAAGTTGCTATGTTTTACTGAGCCTTACTTCTTCTTCGAAAAAAAATATTTTTTTTTTCAAGTCAGTTCGGTATTTCTGATTTTAAAATCCTCTATTCCAGCCATGTCATATTCTTGAGTGATGAGTTTACTACAGTGTGACATGCCGACATTTGCCTCAGACTTTATCTCATTTATCCGATATTGGTATCCCCAGGCTGAACCTCCACCTCAGATCACTTGGCTGAAGGATGATGAGCCAATATCCCCGTGGTTTCATATCATCAATACAGATGGAATGTCTCAACTTGTTATTCCCTCATCAAAGCGCTCGGATTCAGCCATTTACACTATCAAAGCCAAAAACTCTGTGGGTGAGGCTTCATTCGACATTGAGGTTAGAGTCACAGGTAAGGACAGTTAGCGCAGAAAAGTTGTGGAAACTAGTGATATTTCAATAGTGAAACTACGGGTGGCAATTATTTTGCGCTGCTATTATTGTTAGTATTATTGTTAGTTAGACAATCCTCAGGTCTTTAAATGAGTAATTCATTTGTAGAGAATTACATTTCATTGCTCGCTTTGTCTTCCACTGGCCAGAGTAGAACTTCATT